TATTGAGTCGTCCGTCGATTTGATGACCACTTTATTGTAAAACTCAAATCAATGGCAAACAAGTGATGAAATAGTGGCCAAAATCGGTGTTAATCTGTGTTTGTGTTTGTGTTCAGTGAAGGCATGAATACATTCAGCCATACATTCAATACTGTATTCATTCGCCTCAATGTTAGCACTGTTTAGCACTGATTCGCACCAATCGTACAGACATTACATTCAATACACGGCTTACACAGCGATTGCCATTCAATACAACCATTCAATGCATCCAATGCTCACTCTCTCTCACTCTCACTCTCTCATCCATTCAACACTAATTACGTTCACTTTCACTACTTTTGCTTAATTTATCATTTAATTAAACGGTTTATTAAACATCAATCAATTCATGAATACATTACACGAGTATTAATAAAAAAAACTTCAAATACAAGAATCGGTATTAAAGGCAAACTGTGTTCACATGTATTGACACATCCATTGAAATGCATTGAAATGAGTGGACGTAATAAATGTGGCAAAAGTGGTGTCAATTGTCTCGCATTGACTGATATCAACAGAAAAGATGGCGGACTTTGAAAACGATTACTTAATTGATGGCAAATCTCTGTATTCTCTTCGTGTGATCGACTTGAAGGAAGTGCTGACCAAACGGGACGTCCCCTACAAGAAGAATGCAACCAAAGCCCAACTCCAGGCTCTCGTCATTCAGGTATTCACTGACACTCTTCCGCCCCTTCGGTGCCGCTCTTTTCGGCCCACGTTTTTACCACTCTTTGTCTCATGTTTTCAATTGATTTATAACTTGTATTAAACTATTTGTGAACTGTTTTCCAGTATTTGAATGAAGCGAATGAAGAGAAGTCCAGCGAAGACACCATACAATCGGAGGAAACCAATGAATCGATTGGTGGCGCGAATGACATCCCAAAGAGTGATGACATCAATAATGAACAGAATTTATGTCCACAACAGACGGAAGCGACGGATTTGAGTCAAGACGCGGGCATCACATCATCGGTCTCTTTCGGTGACAAGCATTCAATCAAATTAACCATTAAATTACAGCCAAATGAGAGCCCAAACAGACAGTTGAGTCCCAAGAAGTCGCCGGTCAAAGAGATGAGGTCTCCAGGCGTTGACTCTTTCAATGCTGTTAGCGATGCGGTTAGATCTCCGGTCAGATCTCCCGTGAAGTCTCCGGTGACGGACACACATATAAAGTCGCCGAAACAAACTCCAGAAGTGATTAAACAAGTTTTACCAGAAGTTGTCACTGAAATACCGGCTCCAGTGGAGCCCAAATCGGTGCCATTGGCTGAAGTGTGCGAACAAACGGCTCCCGTAGTCGTCTCCCAAGTGTTAGCACAACAAGACATCGTCTCATCAGAAAAACCCAAACAAATCATCGAAGAAATCGTGAAACCCTCTAAAGGGAAAGAATTTGCAAATACGGACTCATCCGGGACTAAGAATTCATCACCAAATGATTCCACAGATTCAACACAAAAATCTACAGAATTAGTGACTAAATCACAAGAATTACCAGAAGATAATTCAGCCATTTCTAAGGACACCAGTAGTGATAGCACTAGAAAAGAAACGCCAGTCGTTAGTCCTGTCAAAGAGAGACGAACTGTGAGTCCTGTTAAAGAGACTCGAGTTGTGAGTTCTATCAAAGAGACACGAAATAGAAGTCCTGTCAAAGAGAGACGAAGTGTAAGTCCTGTCAAAGAGACGCCAGTCGTGAGTCCTATCAAAGAGACACGAACTGTAAGTCCTGTCAAAGAGACTCGAGTTGTGAGTCCTGTAAAAGAAACACCAGCTGTGAGTTCTATTAAAGAGTCTCCAGTTGTTGAGCCGATTGTGAAACAAACGGATAAGAAAAGTGAACGTTTAGACGAAACTGAGAGTAAAGTCCCGGAAACGGATCAAAGAAGAAAAAGTCCCGAAAAGGCGAGACCTCCGCGAAGGAGGCGTTGGGGCGGAGCCGTCACTAATGAGACGCAACAAAACACACCAAAAGGTATATCAAGTGATCAGATCAAGGAAATGATCTCTGATTTGGACTCAATGAGTGCCACTTCGGGTGCCGACAGTTCGAGCGCATCAAAGGTGAGTAAATCCGATACAAGTATTGTTGTTACGAGTAGTCTCTCTCGAACTCAAACAACCGCTACAACCAATGAAATGCCCGCAAAACGTGACATTCGTGTTGTCAGGAAATCAGTTTCTGTTCCAGAAGATGAACAGATCCCTAAAGAGTCGGTCAAACCACCGGTTATCCAACCCGTTGTCGAACATAAGAAGCCTATTGTAGCGGAAGTGGTTGAACGCAAAAGTGAAGAACAGTTGGACGAGAAGCGAGAGTCGAGTCCCGCCAAAAACACGGCCACAGAAGTGGTGTTCATCCGAAACCTCGTCCGTCCCTTCACTTTATTGCAATTGAAAGAAGTTTTGGGCAAAAATGGAAAATTAAATGAATCCCGTTTTTGGATCGATAGAATCAAATCCAAATGTTTTG